GGTGCGACGAGGTAGATGTACTTTATGGTAGTTAACCTAATCAAGCCCGGCCCCACCAATGCTTAAGTTCCAGTAGGAGTGCAATAAGTTTCACTTTACCTAGCACTTCAGTGAACAAACCAAACCAAACCAATCCAATCCAATCCAATCCAATCCAATCCAATCCAATCCAATCCAATCCAATCCAATCCAATCCAATCCAATCCAATCCAATCCAATCCAATCCAATCCAATCCAATCCAATCCAATCCAATCCAATCCAATCCAATCCAAATGAAAGTACCTGTCATTTTTGGAACACAGATTGGGAAAACAGCATGACCATGCTTTCTAGATCCAACTAAGTGCCTTAGAGAATTGTCATAGCACAAAAGCTGAATACAATATGAATTTAAAAAAAAACGGCCTAGGGGATAGAGAATCCGGCAAAGTCTAATTCCTCACTTTTCAGTGGTTCAGGTGTAATCGCTCAGCGTGCTCTGCATATCGAGTATCGAGTATAACTAAGAAGAATCGCATCCGAATCGAAATCGAAAGCAAACATTGACTCATCTAAAATCGGTGACTTCTCATCAATGTCGGTGTCGTCATTTTCAAGAGAGTCCTATACCTTAGTTTCTCCATACATCACCTCGCCCGAACGACCGATAAAGGCGATACTCCAACTGCAAACAGGAGCTTGCCTCATCAAAACCGGCCATTACTCACTACAAACTTACTACACTACGTATACCCGCAAGGAGGAAATCAAGTCGAAAAATACAAAGTCTGGGTATTGGCTTATGGGGAACCGATGCTCTAGTGGGGTTATATACTTTGAGGAAGCACAGGCGGCTGAGATGTGGAGCGAGAAGGAGAACAGGACTCTTAAGGCCATGCTGGGACTGACATTATCGAGGGGTTTTCAACTTTGGAACATTTGTGGGCGCCAAGATTGAGATTTTGGCTAATTAGCCAGCATTTTGGCTTCCATTCTCGAATCTAATATAAAATGAGTCGTATAACGACTGCTTACAAATGTTACCGGAAGTAAGACTTTTAATGAAGTATATTGTTTCTTGTCGATTCCTTTCTTCTACATACAAGTGTTATTTCCAAGAATGTGATTGGCCCTAAGTCACGGGACACGGGACCCACAAGAGTGCTTCTATTATCGATGAGTCAACGGCACTCCCCAGAGCCCTGGATCGCACAAGAGAAGTTGGGTCAAGCTACCATACAGCAACTACGTTCTGTCAATACTGTTCTTACATTTCTGTACGACCTTCGGGAAGGAGTTAGAAGGAGGCTACAAAGGCAGAGGGTGAGTTTCCCGAGGGACGCACAAGTCTGCAGCGCTCAGCTGGCCGGCCTCTTCGAGCGCTTCAGAAGGGTCACTATGTATTCGGATTCAGTCCGATTTTCGGTAATAAAAGAGCCCCGCACCTTGTGGCTTTTCGCGATTTTCCCCAGAAGGTCTTAGTCTCGGAAATGATAACTACTTAATTGTCCTTGCTAAGCATAAAGGCCTAGTAGGATTATACTAGGAACCCTATTTTAAAAATATATTTTTTTAATTTGTATGCAGCAATTTAGCTACGACACATGACCGGTCCTATGTATACGTGTGGGATGACTCTTTTGACGTCAGAGACACTGACCCTCCGGATTTCATTCGCAAATACCACTATGAGGTATGCTTGCTTACACAAACATTCAACCCTCCTCCGTAAGTACCCACTAGAAGGAATTTCAAAACCTTTGATTATCCAATAATGCCTTCGTTATTCATGTACGCGAGCACCGCGAGAAAAGTTGTTTGATTTTGCCGTATTCTAAGCAGCGGTCTACTATCTCGAGCGGTATTTGTGTCCTATCTATCTAGACCTTACGTAAGAGACGGGCCAAGAAGATGTACCACCGCACCATCCAACCATGGCGGTGTTTATAGTGTCGCCTGCACTCCCGCAACCGAAGCCTTGGCTTTTTGCATCATATTTTAATTGCGTGTGAAGCAATCTAGCAATGACACAATATCAAAGAAAAGTACAGAATAGATGACTCAACGTAAAGGAAGAGCACTCATGCCTCGGATTTCATTTGCAAGTACCACTGCAAAGTTATGGCGGCTTTTTCTTCACCACAAGTCAAACATCATCAGGAATATGCACCCAAGAGAACGTCTCAAAAACCCTGAGTTATCCAGACATGACTCCATCATCCATTAACTTTTCTCCGCGCGAATTATGATCTGAGGTGTATCCTTCCCAAGTGAAGTAGGTGCCCAGGCTACTCGAACCATACCAGAGAACACCACCAGAAGGCGGACCACGGCATCTTCCATCGTTTGCTTATGTTTATAGTGTCAACTGCACTCTCGCAAGCGAAGTCTTGGCGCGCACAAAGCCCGATTCGTAAAACTCCTTGCCAAAATTCGGAATCTCACGCCCTTCGAGGGTATATCTTTCCTTTGCATCATCTTTTCAACTTGTCCTGATCCCTCTCACGTCCAGCCCAAAGAAATGTCTCCCAGATTTGCGCGCCAGGCTCTGCTTCCTCCGTCGGGTATAAATATCAGCTTGGGCGTGTATTGGTGACCAGCTCAGGCCAGAGAAAGTCAACAAGAGGTATGGTCTTTGGAATGAGGATGTACCAAGTTGTACTTGTAGACTTGAGACTTGTGTAGGAGTCGATCTCGTTGCGAATGAAAATTCGACATAGAGGAGGGTATCCAATCATTATCTCATGGGCCAACTTAAATCGTATTGCGAAATTTGGCTGAACCTGGCTATGGGAGAATACCAGACACTCGGGTTCGTCGCCGTGTTCAGGTGCTCAGTCTTGCGCTCTGTGATTTACAGTCACGTGTGTAGCAACGAGACCTGCTTGTTAGCTGCGATCATTACTACTTCTGATAATAGGAATCGTGTGCAGAGATGTAGGCTATGAAGCAGATAATACCATGCGCATGCACGACAAGAGCCATAGGTAAAATAGCCAAGCCAAAATCGTATCAGAGCCATTAGCGGATGGAGTAAAATTCGTAACAGCGAAAAGGTGAGGACTAGAGGAAAGGAGGCTGGTGAGATGGAAGCGTTTCGGGAGTGGTAAAGCTCGTGGGCATGTTGAGAGAGCTACCTTCTTGTTAGCGGCCGACGGCAGACCTAGAGCATTGGAAAGCAGCAAACACCATCACCAACAGAGCACGTCCTTCAAAATCCACAGGAACCCTGGCAAGGCCTAGAGTAGTTTCGTGGCTCAGACGAGAAGGGAGCACATCGGCCTCGACTCTAGCCTACACCAAAGAAGGTCGCCGGAGTGGTAAGTGCAAAATGCCCATGTGAGTATCTGCCACCAGACGTCAAGCACATGATCTTAGCGCATCATCAATGCGACGGGCAGCGTATGGATCTTTTGAAGCTATAATGAACAGGCCTGATGATGTGAAGAGAATTACATTAGATACTAGAGGCTTCTTTGAGCAGTTCCAGCTTGCCGACGCGATTGGGAAAATAGGCCGGATTCACCCTGGATGAAGAGGATAAACGCCCATCCTGCTGGAACCCTAGAAAACCAGTAGACGTAACATAGGTAGGATCAGGGCTTTTTCACCGAATTGCTTCCCTCTTTGTGAATATTTTAGATTTATATACCTGCATGGATCCATAGGCTTCCCGAACGGAATAAATTAGATAAATAGAGATTACATGGGTCACTTTACTTGCCAGGATGGTTTCTCCATCCAGACTACGTCATTCCAGCATATTTGGGATAGCACAAACGTATTGGGCCATGGCAACTTATGGCATGCCCTCTCTATCAAGACATGTCCGATAGTAAATTAATGAACTTGCCCGTATAGATACAATTTAGGGGGGAGCGTTTCAAAGGGAAATAGGAAGATGAACATGCTTCTCGCAGCTCCATACACATCTGTTGCATTCAGTGGTTATTTTGTCCAAACGCTTCAGAAGGGTAGCTTTGTATTGTGATTCGGTCCAGTGTTGCTGCTAGTGGGCCCGACACCAAGTGGTTTTATGTGAGCAATACCTCTTACTGTAGAATAGAATAGAATTGAAGTCCCTCACAAGTTTATGACTATGAAGGCTACCGGCTGCTGTAAACCCTCACCCGTCTTCAGTTTCGTCGGTAGAAGGGAGATATTGAAGAGTGGATTTCTCGAACGTACTTTTAGCTGAATAAATAACTGATAAGAGTGGTGCTTATTCATTGGAGTTGCAATTGAGAACAGGAAGGACTGCCGACCCGAGTCACACGTTATTTATATCATGCTGAGATGAGATCTGTGACCCACAGTTTCTTACCTTACAATAGAGACGACATTTTAACTCATATTGATCAGCCTGAAATAGGGCTACAGAATACAATTTCTATAGCACTCAATTTCTTGCAGAGGCTGAGTACTGAAATATTTTTCTTGATTGGTTCTACGCTACTGCTAGCTTTGAGAACTCCTTTCAATAACTCGTTTGCAACTTTTGTGTGTTCACATTGCAGTCCTCGTCTCAGCATAATCATCATTTTAGATTGAAACCATAACACCTGCGACAGTGTAATTAAAATTATCGTGTTCGTCATGCTCATTATTATCATTGTCGTCATCATCATCATTACTATCATCATCGTTATAGACCACAACCTAGATTAGTTGAATCCGGTTTGGTATGGCGAGGCCTTCGAGCTCCAAGTCTGAAGATACTGAACACGCCTTTTCCAGTACTTTTATTTTGAGAAAATGTTTCCAAGAATTTTTTAGAAGTTCCACGCGCTTTGTAGCATTGGGATAACAGCCAGACGTCGAATTGCTCGACGACCTTTTTCTCCGATACTAAACTTTTCCAGCAGTTGACCGTGAGTGAGGGAAACATCAGGCGTGCGGACCAGTTCCTGTGAGAAGTGAAATATTAGTCCGTGCAAGTTAAGTTAGGGTCTAAATAGTACAGATGATGAAAATGCGTGATTATTTAATATTTGGTGTGTTAGTGGATACGAGGCCTCTTCTACGTCTCTACCCCTAGTCTGTGTTGTGATGGTTTGGGCGATAAAAAAATTGATTGAGGATCACGTACCGACCATCTCTCCCATTTCTCTATCATTATGCTCAAGTCGCATTTCTTGCTCTTGAATCCTTTTTCAATAGAAAGGTCTGATAGGTCTTCTTTCTCCATGAATGTATCAAAAAGATTCCACTCTTCGGTGTCGTTTGGGCCATCGCTCTCCCAAGGCGCTAACATCTTGAGCAGTAGATTATATTGATCTTGCTGCATTCCTGGAACGCGACCTCGAGATTTGAACCGCGAACTGCCGGCATTTTGCCACAAGTCGAAAAATAAAGGATTTGATAGGTGTTGATTAATGAGGGAGACTGAGACTGTTCCTTGTATATCATCTGACACGTCTTCTTCTTCGTCTTCGTAAATTTCACCATACTCGTCGTCTTCAAACTCGTCGATGATGCTTTCGCTTTCGTCTATATCCTCTATATCATTCATGTCTTGGTCTTCAATCTCATAGTCGCTTTCGTCATCTTCTCCTTCCTGCAGGGCATTCATATCTTTATTCATAATCTCCATCCTCCTCTCTAACATCCTCTTCCATCGCACTCGTCTTAATCTCCATTCGATCACAAGCCGCTCAACGGCGCCCGCACACATGTAGTTCCCATCGGGTACACCGACACCCGTGTGACGCGTGAAGGGCTCTATACGGGTAAAGTATGCCGGGTCAGATAGGTCGGCAATCTTTTCAAAGCACGAGATGTGGTAAAGATCTATTGGATTCGTCAGTCCTCTAGATCTGGCACCGGGTACTTCGTCCTTGGATAGAACGTAGTCGAAGTATTTACATTCTATCCCTCTTCCGCCTTCTCGCATAGTTTATGATCCCTTTTCACTCACCGGCATTCTGAGAGCTAAGTTCGGTCATTGAAGGGGTTACGGCTACACGGTAGCGGCCGCATGTAAAATTACGAGAACAGCTGTTAAGAGCGCATTTGGTGGTCTGTGAGGAAGGTGGACAGCGTTCGATGAAGAACGAAACGGTAGAGTGCCTAATTGAAAGTTGTGATGCAGGCGGTTGGATTGGATTAAGCTTTGGTAAGAATCTCTCGATTGGGTTGAGATCGGGAGTTGGGCAGTCGAGTCCTAGATGCTTTCGGAGTAGAGCGCGTTGTTGACCATCGGGATCCATGACAAGGCCTGAAAAATGAAGGCCTTCCTAACGAAGCGAACAATATAGACGAGGCGAATGAATAGATGACTAAATCAATGAAGACGTTATGATGGACACGTTCTACATTTTCCGGCTATTCGCGAGGTATATAAGGAGCTAGGAATCTGAATGCTGCTGCTGCTTCTGCATTCCTCCATGGTAAGCACAAGGCAGGCCAGCGTGTCCGCCGCATCTGTGACTGGTAACTCCGCGATGGGACAATCCACCTCATCGAGGACCTCCGCCCTATCGCATAGACGCAACTGTGGCTCGGAGGCGCAAGTCCCGAGATAGCATCAATAGAAGAGCTGCGCTGACCCCTCTTTCCCGTACATCATGGCCAAGCCGTCCTTGTGCAGCAGGAACTTCTTGCGCAGCTTCATCGGAGCCAATCGGACAATAACCCCGATCGAGCTTCTTTCATGGAACCAGAGCGGAGGCGCACTCGGGGTTGGAAGATTTCCGAAGCCGAAGCTGGGGAGGGGGGCAAGACAGTGAGCGAGCGGATAGGGTACGTCTCTGAGAGAGAGGGGGGGGATGAGCAGAAAGTTGAAGTTGCCGCGTCAAGTCCGATGCGATGGAGCGTGCTGGGCGGTCATGGTTGGTCAGGAGATAGCGGGCAGATCGATTAGGCGTCGTGGTTGTCGGTGGACACGCCAACAACGTTCGCCAAGAAATGCGGACCGATAATATCCACCGTCTGAAATAAGTGCGTGCGTTGCGAAGAGTGGTGGGCGTGCGCGCCGTTTACTCTCAAGCGAAGGGGTTACCGCCGGTGCACTGTCGGTGTCCGTCCCCTGGCCAAGCAAGACACAATGACCCATCTACGCGGAGCCTTCACCAGGAAACGACGGGAAGGCCAATGCAGGCAGTCCACAGACGCCAATTGGAACTTTCCGTGCATGTCCCAAAATATAATGGGTTAGCGACAAAGATGAACATGGGGCGCTCGCAGCAGTTTCACGCAAACCCATCCATCGAGGATGCGGGATCCACGATAGCCCGGTGTGCGTTGACGTATAGGAGTACCCGCTCGGAAATTGGCGTGCATGTACCTACATATCTCCACAAGGCCATTCGGGGTAGCCCTCATCCGCCGCTTAATCCTGTCCAACCAAATCAAACACTCTGCATGCTCAAACGACGTGCCCACCTATCCCGCGTCTGTGAAGAGCCGTTGCAAAAAGTTCCCGAGAGACGAGTGGTGAGAAAATCCAGGGATCCCTGAATAAGAAATAGGCCTAGAAGAGCCCTGAAAGCTAAGAGAGCCTTCAACGTTTGAGTTTACGCTACCATGAGTGCACGAAGGATTTAGAGCTCAAAATAGCCAGAGGAAAGTTCCCGATGCGCTTCATCGGACACCCTTCGGAATCGAGTCTCACCCAGCTAGAGGTCACTCGGTGATCAAAATATGCAATTGATTGTACTACACTGGAGATTCACGATGCCGGCACTGCATCTGCAACCATTGCCCTATAAATTCTTCCGCGAAGCACACGTCCACATCTGGTCTAGGCCCAACGATTACTTGATGTCATAGAGAAGAAAATAAGCGTATTTGTGGCTGGTAGGTTTAACTACGGGAGGCATAGTTTATTCTGCTCCCTTGTCAAGAATGCGTCCAAACAGCTGACTTGGTTCTTCATAATGCTAACACACACAAGGCCTGTAGATATGAGACTACGGGCACGCTAAAGACCCATTAACACTCTTCTTTACTTCTTTACCTATTCCAGGCCTTGGAAACCTATGGCTGGGGGGAAAGGTAGGTCTGGTATACTAACTAGTCTAGAGCACTCGAAGTCGCCTCATCACACAAAGAAGAATCTCATATTTAATTATCATTGGCCCACGAAATTCCGGATACACAAACTTGGAAACAAAGGGCACTATTACTGGGACAAGACAGAGAACACTCTTGAGCGACTGGATATTAAAGCCCAAAGAATGCAATACGATCCACGGGGAATTTTGGGTTGTGAAAACTTTGAAAGGACGGTAGAGAAGATTTCTGAGTAGTACAGTATCACCTTGAGGGTATGCAAAGGCAGTTATTCCTCCACAATCTTAAAGGCTCACGAAGGCGCTGAGTAGCGGCCGTACCTCAATATAATTAGTGGAGCTCTCTTGGGACTGTCAATACGCTGGGTAGTTTACCCAGACTGAGCTACTCGGCACTTGGTCCTTGTAGTCTAGTGATGTGCGCCGGCACGGCGTGAAGTAATTTAAAAAAGCTTCATAGTCTGGAGGGTAGAGATCTACTGGCAGGGCTCCCTACATTTCTGGGCATCAGACAATGCCCCGGAGCCGGCTATTAGTCAGAGGTAGCAATGCCCGAGTCGAGCTGCAAGGAGATGAATAAATGACTTTTAAATCCTTCGCTTCCGATAAGGCCAGGCTTGTACCATAGCCTCATCCAATGCTCGTGTACGATGTTAAGCACCTTTTCAATAACCATGCCACACAACTTCCCGGTCCCAGACCCCACCCGGCCTCCGAATACATACCCGTGCCGATTTCGAAACTATGCAAAGCTAAATCACAGCGCACAGATATGGCGAGAATACTTCTCGGGAAGGATAAAGAAGATTGGAAGATTCATGCAGACTGGAGAGGAGTTCTGTGCGCATCGAGACTTGGCGGGTTAGATGGTGCATTTGACTGATGTCTAGAAAGCTCCATGAAAAGTCAAGAGGAGAGCCAGGACACCACGTTTTGCGGATCCTGAACATGCCGCTTCGAAGCCAGCCAGACGGCTAACATGCCAAATTCGGCGCAGCTCATTCCTGCAGAGGATGATGAGGGTGTGCCGGGGGGGGGTAGTCCATGGTTTTTTGATTGACTTTACCATGGCTCGGTTATCACGGTTGATGGGGAGGCTTGCGAGTGCTTAGGGATGAAGTCGCCGGAGTGGTACCTGAGAACGCGTGCCACGGCTCGAGTATTCAACGTGGAATCCATTCATCTGCGACAACGAGCCGTCAAGAGAAGATCCCTGCTCCATGTCCTTTGTCCCGTCAGGGTGTAGGGCGACTGCTTCGCCAACACAATCCGTCGCCTAAACCATCATCGTTTCACCCTCCACCAGGCCCGTAGAATCATCCATGAGCGCAAAGGTGCGGGCCCACACCATCCAAGCCATCTTATTCGTATTTACTAGTCGTCGGCCCGTACTCGCTAGCCCGGTGAGCTTTTTTACTCGCACTTCTCCGGCAATCCCCGGCACCCAAGACGGGACCAATTCTCTGGACTATGGCAATCTACGGCACCCACGCTCTGTCAAGACTTTCCAGCATCTCAACAGGATCCGAAAGGAATTACGACGGCAGCGAACGCTGCTCTAGGGTCAAGGAAATCTGTAGCGACTGGCTCGTAGTCTTCGGCGCGTGGCTTTGCCTTCAGATCTAGCTCTGTGTTGGTACTAGGGAGGTCCCACACCCGGTGATTTTTATCGAGTTTTCTCGCCGACCATAGACCCACAATTGGCCCTCATCTCGCTCATTGTAAAGGAAGGATAATGATGAGCAAAAGGCTGTCCTACGTGTCGCGGCGAATGAAGACTTGTGAGGCGCGGGCCTGTCAGAGTAGAGCAGTATAGTCGCCATGAAATAGGATAAACTGCCCAAAGGTAAAGCTTTCCTTGGCCTGTAGACAGAGAGTTTGAAAAGATAGTAGCATCTAAATTCAAATTGCTGTCCTCTCGGAGTCGCACGACTTGCATAGTCTCGGGCGTTTCGAAGAATACCAAATTGTTCACTGCAGTGCTTCTTGTATTAGATTATTCTCCGGCCCGCGCTTAGCGTCGCTGCGTGTCGCCCGTTGCCCTTTGGATCACGGCATTTAACTCGGTGTCCATTGCGGATAGACCTTATTGTATGTGCGCAAAGCATGAATCGACGCTAGAGGAAACAGACCAGGTCTTTCATTGAACGCCCGAACAGTACATGAGTATCTTGCAAGCTACCGCTAGCAATTTTGAAATTAGGCAACGGTCGAATTGATTGGTTGGAAGGGAGTCTATGTGTTTCAATTTCTCGATCGCAGTTTAAGAAATGTCTAGTCCATGTCTTTACAATACCAACACTTGGTAAACTTCTCGAAAGTCAGATTGCTAGAGTCTCCATGGCTCACAAGGTTTCAACGAAAGGAATTTTTATTCCGTCTATGAAATTGATTACTTTAATTACCCTTGGCCTCTATCCGAGACGATTTGGGATAAAAATGCTTTTTTCATCTTGGAAGTTTGCATGCACATCCTCTTACTTATAAATATGAAATTGGGCAATTGCGCTTCCCCGACCATTAATACAAGTTCGATGAATTAAAATAATGGTGTAAAGTCGGGGGAAGAGCTGGGGTCAGTGATACCGTTTTCAACTTTTGACTGGAAGTTCAGATACCAGGTATGATTCATGGGTACTTGTGATATCGTAGTTTGGTATATGGTAAAAAATAGGGATTTATTGAAATGTGATAATCTTGATTATTTGAAGGGACGACCTACCACCAAGTGCAGCGTTCGCACATTAGGAAATATAGCAGCACTCCCTCGTGGGATGCCAAAAGTTTTGTCGAGAAGGTAAGCAGTAGCGGGACTAAGACAAAGGCAGAGATTGGGGAATTTGCGAACGATGGAAGTCTGCCACTCGACACCTGTGTCCACTATCCGCATTCTACCTGAGCAGGCAATGTCATGCTGTTGAACAGCTCGTCATATGTCAGACAGCAATCTTCGATGATGACCATATATTCGTGATCGAGGTGCCGAGCGTCAAGTGACTGACCAAGCGCAGAGAGGAGATCAGAATTACAACAATTGACAGGCGCGGAATATCCATTTTTCCGTCCGGCCACGCCACAATGGGAGTAACTATGTACACGTATTATCGCAAACTAAAACCACAAAATGAAAGAACAACAATAGCGACTAAACACTTGATCGACTGTAAAAACAGGGACAAAACTGATTTTCTCGGCCC